GGAGTTTTCTTCAATGGAGCTATCTTTTGGATCTTTAAAGGGGTAAACAGTATTACTGTGGATGCGTTCGTGGGAATTTACATCTGGTTGGCTCTTCAGTCAGTAATCCACATTATATTAATGTCTGTGTATTGGAAAATGACTACTCCTCTTGGAGCCTAAAGTATTTCATTGATTGACGTGAACCAACTTCATGTGCAATTCGAGAAATGATTTACACTTCACCGGGACTTAGTTCTCTTGAGTTTACATTTAGTGTGCTTTCTCTTATGACAAGTGAAGGGAATAACAAGCTACCATATTTGATTCTTTACATGCCTTGTAAAGCTAAGTTAACGGTAAAAGGTAGGACTTGTGAGAAGTTGCCATTACCGTCAGTTGATCATTTGTTTGACAATCCACTCTGGATAGGTTGTAAAATTTGAGTAACATAGGCCAGTAAATAACTAGATATACAGGGAATGTGTCTATCACTTCAGTCGCTCAATCTTAGTGGTAATCAATCAAAATGTGGCACTTCAGGCATAAAAATCTTTGTTTTGGAGTCTGTTTTTCACTCTTCCTCTACCAAATATTAGCTTTAACTCAAATTAATTTCCATTAGTTGGCTGTTGCCTTTTTTTTATCTTCTTGAGGATAAGTTGGTCAGGATTATTTACTTTGAATCATTCTGGGGGTCCTGCCTACTTTCCTAGCTACTTTATCTAGATAATTTTCTGGTTTGTTATTTTTGTTAATGACTATAGTTGATGATAGTTGATACCTGATGAACGATATGTTTGCTATGTATCACTGTTTCTGCTTATTTCATTGATAAGATTCTATTTTCTGCAAAAAGTGATATTTATCAGAACGGATACTAGTGCACTCTTCGTTGATAAGGTGTTGCAGTCTTAGTCCTAGTGCTGTATTCTGCACTTTTACAACTCAAAATTGGTGTGTCCAAAAGGAAAAATCTTCATATTCTCGAACAATGCACCTCGCTAGTAGTATACTTTGGAATTTCTGTAGAGAAAACTTTGGCTTGTCAATATCCCATCCCCCTTAAGTTTGGCTCCTTAGCTGCTACGTGGTTTCTCACTAAGAGTAACACTTTGATTGTACAAGTCATTTTATACCTATTGCATAGCTCGAGTTGCTTGTTAACTTAAATGAATTGTGTTTTGTGCACATTAATGATTCTGCTGGAAACACAACATGGACTCTTCATTTTCTGTAATCCATTAAATGTTGTGATGAGAATATTGAAAGTCTCTTGTTGGAGACTGAACTCATCCTTCCCATTTCATTATATATATGTAAGTGTTTGAATAGATATGTTCTTCATACAAACATATCAACATGTCTTATAGTGCTGAAAAAATTTAAGGTAGTGATGATCTTTTAACCAAGATTTTACTACTCCTTCCTTCAAGGCCTCTTTTCAGGTTCAAACTTGTTTCGAAATGTTGGAGTTCTCTCGTCTCCAATCCCCATTTTTCTTCTCTTTGGAAGCGTCAATCTTTCCCAACTCTACTCATTCTACAGTCGCCTTTTATCGATTACCCTTGTTATTACATTCTTGATAAAACTGAGAAAATCAACACATTGTGATGCCAAACAATCAAATTCCTCCATTGATGAACATCAAGTTCATATGAGAAAGGAGGAAGAAAGTTCTGGAAGAGCTAAATGGAAAAGAAACTGTTTCATTGAATGAAAAATTAAGTGGTGATTGTTACATGTGACTCTGTATATATAGATACACGAATTGTAAGCTAGCTAACCAACTTATACAAAATCTGACTTTCAGTAACCAACTCTAACTAACTAACTCTGTGAAGCAGTAACAATGCTAACTAACTCTGTGAACTTTAACTAACTAACTTATATTTCATCACTCCCTCGCAAGTTGGAAGTAAGTGAGTTTATAGACAACTTAGTTAATAGTGTAGTATGTTTAACTCCAGTTAAAGCCTTTGTAAAAATGTCTGCCAACTGTGAATCAATGGAGATGTGGTGAAGTGTGATCAGGCGTTGTTGAAGTTTGTCCCTAACAAAATGGCAATCGATCTCTATATGTTTTGTCCTTTAATGAAAAACTTGATTCTTGGCAATGTGTACTGCAACTTGACTATCACAGAAAACCTGTATTTGCAAGGAGCAATGCACACACAATTCATTCAGTAACCTTTCAAACCATACTAGCTCTCCTATGACCTATCTCACAGCTCTGTATTCTGCTTCTGCAGAGGATAAAGAAACTATGGCTTGTTTCTTAGACTTCCAACTGATAGGACTATCACCCATAAGCACTAGATAACCACTAACTGACTTCCTTGAATCAGGACAAGCAGCCCAGTCTGAGTCACAATAGGCACTAACAGTAAGGTCAGGTTTGTTTGAAATGAAGATTCCCATTGTAGGATCTTGTCTCAAATATCGAAGAACGTGATAACCTGCTTTCAAGTGTGGTTCTCTGGGTGTTTGCATAAATTGGTTGAGACTCTGCACACTATAGGCTATATCTATCCTAGTATTTGTAAGAAAGTTAAGTTTTCCTATCAACTTCCTGTAATAGGTAGGATCAGACAATGGCTTCCTATCTGTGGCTTTCAACTTTTCAGTACAATCAAGGGGTGAGGCTGCAACTTTACAGTTGAAAGAATCAAACTCCTTCAAGAGGTCAGTGGTAAACTTCCTTTGTGAAATGAGAACTCCATCAGGCCTGTACAATATTTCTAACCCCAAAAAATAGTGTAGTCTACCTAGATCCTTTATTTTGAACTGATCATGCAAAAAGGATTTCAAAGAATTGATTTCCTCCAAATCAGTTCCAGTCAAGATCATATCATCTACATATATGGCAACAAACACCAAAGAAGCTCCCTTTCTCTTATAAAATAGTGAATAGTCACTATCTGAATGTATGTATCCTTTTGAACAAAGACTGCTGGCCAATTTTTCATACCATTGTCTACTAGCTTGTTTCAAACCATACAATGATTTCTTCAGTCTGCACACCATATGTGGACTGTCCACTGCAAGACCTTGTGGGAATGTCATATATACTTTCTCATTCAAGTCACCATGAAGGAAAGCATTATTAACATCCAATTGATACAGATTCCATCCCCTCTTGACAGCCAAGGTGATAAGGGTCCTAATAGTAGTCATCTTAACCACAGGAGAAAAAGTCTCATTATAGTATATACCAGCTTGTTGAGTATACCCTTTAACTACTAGCCTAGCCTTGAACCTCTCCACACTACCATCTGCCTTGTGTTTGATTTTGTATACCCATTTACAGGCAATAGCATTCTTCCCTTTGGGTAGGAGGACCAGTTCCCAAGTATTATTTGCATACAATGCTTCAAATTCTTGTGTCATTGCCTTCTGCCAGGCAGGATACAAGATTGCTTCTTCATAGGAAGAAGGTTCACAGTCATGTGATATATTTTCAATAAACTGCTGACTATCAGAACATAAAGAGGTGAAACAAACACTATCATGGTTGGACACAAAAGAAGTGAGGGAGTGATGTGGGCTGGAGGTACGTGTAGTGGAATGTAGGTTAGGTAGGGTGTAATTATATTCTTTCAAGTAAGTGGGAGTATGAAGTGGTCTAGTTGTTCTTCTAAGGGTAGGTACAACATCACAAGATGGAACAGGTGCAGACATGGATTGTGTGGTGGTTAATGGTGAATGGGTATTTTGTCCTGCAGGTGAGGTTGTGTTTTCAGCAATATCATTGATTACTTGATTAGTGGGGACTTCATGGGATGTGTTAAAGTCCAGTAATTCATCATTAGGAAACATGCTTGTTGAATATGGAGTGTAAGTAGAAGTGTTGGAGTGATGAATTAAAAGCTTTAAAATAGAAGGAAAACTAGAACCATCAGGAGCAAGTACAAAAGGAAACACAGACTCATGGAAAATAACATCTCTAGATACATGGACTCTTTTGGTAGCTAAATCTAAGACCTTGTAACCTTTTGTATTGAAAGGATAACCAACAAAAATATGTGGTGTTGCCCTTGGTTCAAACTTGTCCTTGTGAGCTTTTAAAGTAGTGGGAAAACATAGGCATCCAAAACTTCTAAGATGAGAGTATGTAGGTGGTGTATGGTACAGTAGTTCATAGGGAGTTTTATTCTGTAAAGTTAATAAGGTATGTGGCTGTTAATACACACTCTCCCCAGTACCTCATGGGCAATTTAGACTGAAATAAGAGGGCTCTTGCTGTCTCAAGGAGGTATTTGTGTTTTCTTTCAACTATGCCATTTTGTTGAGGTGTATATGGACAAGATTTCTGGTGTATTATTCCCTTTTCTTAGAAAAAATGAGTGGCCTCAGTAGAGGTGAATTCCAGACCATTATCAGACCTGATGGTCTTCAATTTGGTCTGGAATTGATTTTCCACAAGACATATGAAAGCCTTGATTGTTTGTAGAGCATTACTTTTACACCTCAGCAGTTGTGTCCAAGTTGATCTAGTGAAATCATCTACCATGGTTAAGAAATAGTGATAACCATCATGAGTAGGAATGTGATATGGTCCCCATAGGTCAACGTGAAGTAACTCAAAAACTTTACTAGTGATAGTTGTGCTGTCTGGGAATGGCATTCTAGGTTGTCTAGCCATGGGGCATATTGCACAAGTGAAAGGTTGTTTGGTAGAGAAAGGAACAGGTATAGTTGGAATTCTTTTCATTTTTACAAAAGGTACATGACCTAGTCTAGCATGCCATATGAGTTCATCTGTATGAGAGTTATCAGACTTAGCAATAAAAGAAGAACAATCAGTAAGATGACATGAAGAAGAACCAGGTTTGGGACAATCATCTTTATTATCAACAGGACAATTTCTTACAGTAGATGATGTTGAAAACTCATTACATTTTACTAAAGAGGGAACAAAAGTACAATGATTGGAAATGACATGAGGTCCTTTGCTCTTAGTAGAAGATGAACAACAGTTGTGGCACTTTGAACACAGGAAATATAGGCCATTCTTGGCTCTACCAAGTTCTAGAGGGCTCTTCAGAGAAGGGCCCTGCAGTAAACAAGAAAAACTGTTAAAGCTTACCATACCTTTGAGTTGAAATGCTAGACAATGAATTGATATTAGATTAAACTTGAAACTAGGAACAAAAAGCACTTTCTGTAGAGTTAAAACTGGACTTAAACAGACATCACCAATCTCAGTCACTTTAACTTTGTAACCATTAGGTAGGCTGATAAGGAAAGGATATGGTAATGGTCTAATGTTTGGGAGAGTGTTTTTATTGTAGGTCATATGATGTGATGCTCCCGAGTCTATGATCCAAGAGTCAGCAGTTAATTTTATACATCTACAAGAAAGATCACCTATCTCAGTAATGGAAGAGTAACAAGCAAGTATACCTGCCAGATTCACAGCTCCACTTAGCATGTTGTCTGAGTTAGGAGCTCCATGTCCAACCTGCAGGAATCCCAAAAGATTGAGCAGTTGTTCATACTGATCTTTGGACAAGTTCAAAGGCATTTGTTTCCTCAACTCAGGGTCTTCTTCACAGTGGTTCCTATCATTCTCAGAGGTGCACATATTTGCTGCAGAACCAACACTCTTCCCCTTGGAAAACTTTGAGTTGGATGGATATCCATGAAGTTTGTAGCATCTTTCTCTTGTGTGACCCGTTCTCCTGCAGAAATCACAAAACAAGGAACTCCTGCTGGTGCTAGAATTACCTCTAAACACATTTGTGTTATTCAAATTCCCAGAGACTCCTGTGCTCCCTTTAGAGGAATTGTAGTTTGTTCTGGGGCCTCCCTTAGATCCTGTACTACTGGCAAGAGCATTCAGTGAAGTTGAGTCCAAAGCTGTGTGGTTGTGAGGTCTTACTTCCCTCTGTTTTTCCTCTTGAGACAAAATGGCAAAAGCTTGTGCCATACTAGGCAGGGTACTCATCATGAGAATGTTTCCTCTGATGACAGTGTACATTTCATTCAGTCCCATCAAGAATTGTATAAGTCTTCTATCTTGTTCAGCTTTGACCAACCTTATCTTACCACCACAAGTGCAAACACAACTACATTGAGAGCTTACATCGACAGTGCTCATCTCTTCCCAAAGTTTCTTCATCTTTGTGTAGTATCCAGTAACATCCAAGGTGCCTTGGACAAGATCATTTATCTTCTTTTGAAGCTAGTACAGCTTACAGCCATTAGTCTGATCATACCTTTCTTCCAATTCAGCCCATAATTCCTGTGCATTGTTAACGTACTGCAGACTATCCCTTAGATCTGGTGATAAGGAATTCAAAATCCAAGAGGTTACCATATCATCACACCTCTCCCACTGCTGGAAGCTAGGATCATCTGGATTTGGTTTTACAACTTCCCCATTGATAAAACCTATCTTGCTCTTAACTGACAAGGCCCTAAGAACAGCTCTCCTCCAGGATCTATAACCAGTACCATCAAAAACTCCAAGTAATAGAGATGAACCTGCATTCTCGGAAGGGTGTAGATAGAAAGGACTAGGAATCTCAATCCTAACTGTGGATGTAGAACCACTTGGAATTGGATCAACTTGTTGATCAACCATATCGAAAAGAGATCGAGTAACAAATTCAATTTGAGGAACAACAACTGAAACTCAAAATTGAAACAGCAAAAGAACCTCGAAGAAAAAAAACTTTGAGAATTGAAGCTCACAGACTGTTGTAGATGCGGAAAGGAAACAGGATCTATGCCCTGTGCTCTGATACCATGAGAAAATCAACACATTGTGATGCCAAACAATTAAATTCCTCCATTGATGAACATCAAGTTCATATGAGAAAGGAAGAAGAAAGTTCTGGAAGAGCTAAATGGAAAAGAAACTGTTTCATTGAATGAAAAATTAAGTGGTGATTGTTACATGTGACTCTGTATATATAGATACACGAATTGTAAGCTAGCTAACCAACTTATACAAAATCTGACTTTCTGTAACCAACTCTAACTAACTAACTCTGTGAAGCAGTAACAATGCTAACTAATTTTGTGAACTTTAACTAACTAACTTATATTTCATCAAAAACAAAATCTAAAGCTTCTATTAGATTCTTTGATTTTATAATGAAAGATGATCCCTTTGATGATGTTGTAATTTTAAATTGTTGTGGTGGTTTACTTCTTTGTCGTAAGAGGATATTCGATGAGTACATTATGTGTAATTCAACTACAAAGGAATTCCATACTCTTCCGAGTCCAAATGTGGGGTCACTAGACATGAGTTTGGCATTTTGATCATTCGATATCGCCTCATTACAAACTTATAAATGTTGGGATCCAATTCTCGAGTAATCCCAAAGATAGTTTATTTTATTGTCTCCCTATTGAAATATACTCTTCAGATACCAACTCATGGAGGCGATCACGAGTCCAGTTTCCAAAAGCATTTTTGAGCTATTTGGGACAACGTAAGGGAGTTTTCTTCAATGGAGCTATCTTTTGGATCTTTAAAGGGGTAAATAGCTTTTGTTATTTTGATATTGATAAGGAAATTTTCCACTCTTATCAATTGCCTGAAATGAATGAGCAGTATTACTGTGGATGCGTCTGCGGGAATTTACATCTGGTTGGCTCTTCAGTCAGTGATCCACATCATATTAATGTCTTTGTATTGGAAAATGAATACTCTTCTTGGAGCCTAAAATATTGCCTTGATCGACGTGAACCAACTTCATGTGCAATTCGAGAAATGATTTGTAGTTGTCAGGGACTTAGTTCTCTTGAGTTTACGTTTGCTGTGCTTTCTCTTATGACAAGTGAAGGGAATAATCAGTTACCATATTTGGTTCTTTACATGCCTTGTAAAGCTGAGTTAATGGTAAAAGGTAGGACTTCTGAGAAGTTGCCACTACCGTCAGTTGATCATTTGTTCGACAATCCATTCTGGATAGGAAGCAAATTAAAATGAGTAACATAGGCCAGTAGATATATAGGGATGTGTCTATCACTTTAGTTGCTCAATCTTGTTCGTAATCAATCAAAATGTAGCACTTCAGGCATAAAAATCTTTGTTTTGGGGTCTGTTTTTCACTCTTCTTCTACCGAATATTAGCTTTGACTCAAATTTCCATTAGATGGCTGTAGACATTTTTTATCTTCTTGAGGATAAGTCGGTCTAGGATTATTTACTTTGAATCATTCTGGGGGTCCTGCCTACTTTATCTAGATAATTTTCTGGTTTGTTATTTTTGTTGATGACTATAGTTGATGATAATTGATACCTGATGAACGATATGTTTGCTATGTATCACTGTTTCTGCTTATTTCATTGATAAGATTCTATTTTCTGCAAAAAGTGATATTTCTCAGAACGGATACTAGTAGACTTTTCATTGATAAGGTTTTGCAGTCTTAGTCCTAGTCCTAGTGCTGTATTCTGCACTTTTACAACTCAAAATTGGTGTGTCCAAAAGGAAAAATCTTCATATTCTCGAACAATGCACCTCTCTAGTAGTATACTTCGAAATTTCTGTAGAGAAAACTTTGGCTTGTCAATATCCCATACCCCTTAAGTTTGGCTCCTTAGCTGCTACGTGGTTTCTGACTAAGAGTAACACTTTGATTGTACAAGTCGTTTTATACCTATTGCATAGCTCGAGTTGCTTGTTAACTTAAATGTTGTCTGGCTTCATCTGTAAACAATCAAACTCCTCTCTCAAATTTAATTTAATTTTATAACTTTACTGATACAAGGGTAAAGTTCAGCAACCATACGCGAAACTATAGGCAACATGAAGACTCAATATACTCAAAAACCAAATATAACATATGAAAACAAACAATTTTATGAGTTTACTAATACAAGAGGAATGCAAATACAAATGCAAATGATTCAAACACAACACAAAGACTCAATATACTCAAAAGCACCAATTGTACTACAATAAAAAACTCGTTCATCGTCAACATCATAATCACAAAATTTCTCAAAGGTGTTGTTTATAAGATTGTACTTCATTCTTATCATCATAAACAGCTGCCAGAACCAGAAATGCATCCTCTTCTCGTTTACCTCGAACCAGAGATAATATCGTAAAATTACAATAATTCAACTCAAGAACAAGATGTTCAAAATCAACCTTGTAAACAAACCATTTAGAATCATCCCTTTTCATCTCGTATACATCAAATCGAATTGTGTTGAATGAAATTTTTGTGAGGTGCAAATGGCCACAAGATTCACCAAAATATGTTATAGTTGTTCCTTGATCATCTGGAAAATGTGGCATTGGCATTACCCCTAACCTCTCAAAATCAAGATTGTAATATAAACAAGTCAAGTTTCCAATAGTACTAATCCAGTAAATTGATCCATTCCAATAAACCCCTTTGGAGAAATTAACATCAGCAATGAATGGATCACCTGATAGTCTCCATGTCCCTGTTTCGAGTTAATTTCACGTGTAGTCATTAAACTTTATCCACTATAACAAAAAAAATAACACAACTACTTTTTGTCATATGCTTCGCTTAATTAAATATTAAATTAGTAAAAACACATCTTTCATTCTAGTCTATGACAAATAGGTAGAGTTTAGTAAGTTACTTTACTGTGACAAAAATAATTTTGTAACTTTTTTATATTTTAGAGAATACTTATGAAATTCACAAACCTGTTTGAGATGAGTAGATTTCAATCTGATAATGTTGAGGAGACGAAACAAAATCGTGAACACATATTACTTTGTAATGAGGAGACTTGGCAGGATCAAAAGCTAAGCTTATACCATGAATTTTAGAATTTTCAGTTTCAAGAACTGATTTTGGAAGTGCTGTGTAATGTTTCGTAGTGGGGTTGCAAACATAGTAATTTGTTTTAGCTAGACGCAAAGGGGAGTTGGAACAGAGCATTAATCCATTGCAAGATTGCAGAGCACTAATACCAGAAGAGTCTTTAATGAATTTGAGATTCTTAAATGGTGGTTTTGGGGGATTTTTCTTATCAAAATGAACATAATCGAACTGGGGTTTTGCTGGAAGAGAATAAGGACAGGTCAAGAAAAGGCCTATTGCGCGATTTGGATTGGGTTGACAGAGGACAGAAAAATGTGGATGAGTAATGATTGAAAGCCAACATTTGGATACGGTTTTGAAACAAAGAAGGGATCTTATAGGTACGCGTAAAAGAATTTCCATTAATAGATCATCAATTGAAAGAACTATTCGAACTGATGATGGCTGCACTAAATCTGAAAATTTCGGGATCTTGAGTTTAATGCCTTGCATTTTTAGTAGTAAATTCTAAATGGGTAATTTATATGGGTATCCATTCAAATTATCCATCTTAAATGAGTTGGGTACCCAACTCATTTAAAAATGGTTAAAAACCAGTCATACTCATATTACACATTTAAAAGTGGGTACTTAAATGGGTAAACGAGACTCATTTATCAAAGAAATAAAAGTGACATTAATATTTTTTTAAGGTGTAGGAGGTCGAGGTAGGAATGGGTGGGATAAAGGAAAAAAACCAACTTTATTTTTGAAAAACAATCTATTTTTTTGGGGAATGGGCTGGCTGGGTGGGGTTGGAAGGGTGGGGGTGATCAAAGTAGTAAAAAATAAATTTAATTTCTTTTAGAAAACAAATAAAAAAAGTAATTTAATTTTTTAGGGGCTGGGGTGGGGGTGGGGGGTGATCAAAGTAATAAACAATAAATTTAATTTCTTTTTGAAAAACAAAAAAAAAATATTATTTTTTTAGGCATTGGGGTGAGTGGGTGTGGGGGGGACTAGAAGGGGGTAGTGGTGGTGGGGTGATCAAAGTAGTAAAAAATAAATTTAATTTCTTTGAAAAAAATAAATTTATTTTTTTATGCGTTGGAGTTGGGGGTGGGGGTGGGCAAGTTAAATTTAAAAAGTACTAAGTATTTTTTTCATGGGGGTGGGTGGGGTGGGGTTGGGGTGGGGTTGAGGTTGAGGGTGAAGAGTATTTTTTGGTTTTGAAGCTTTTAATATGATCCCTATAATATTAATATGGGTAAATATGGATATCCATATTACTCATTGGGTAACTCATTTTTATCCATTTAAAATATGAGTCAATTCGAGTATTATACCCATTTTTATTTAACTCGTTTTCGATCGACTCATATTCGACAAGCTCTTTTGACACTCCTAGTCGCAATCTTCATATTCCCAACACGAAAAATTAATGGCCAAAGTTGGAAAATAAAATAAAGAGAGCAATATTATGGACTCTTCGTTTTATGTAATCTTGACAAGTGGGATCAGAAAATATACTTGAGATTAAATGAGAATTTTGAAAGTCTTTTGATGGCCTCTCAATTCATTATACGGAAAAGGGTCAAAAATACCCCTATACTTTGAGAAATGATTCATAAATACGCTCCTTCCACCTTTGGGTCCAAAAATACCCTTAATGTTTATTTTTTGGATTAGACTTACCCCTCAAACTAACAGAACTAACATCAATGTTGACTCTTTTTAAAAAAAGAGCCACATGGCATTTCCTAATTGGTCCATTTGGCCTGCATCGTTGTTATGATGTAGATACAGGTAACCATGATCAGCATCTAGCGCATCGTT